GGGCCGGTCCTATCGGAAGAAGACCGGTAGGCCCGGTAACCTCATAGCCAACTACGACCAAAATGGCAGTTTAGAAGCTATATGTATAATTCAAAGTGGGATAAACATGAATGAACTATTAAGTAAAAACCAACCACCATTACATTACAGATGTTATAACGTTAAATAGATTAAGGACTTACACTCGGTCAATACGTTATATATATGACATATATATGGACCAGTTAGATTATATATTGACACTCGGACTTCGTCCTCGGTCAATATTATCTGAACAGGTCCATGTATAACGTATTGACCTCGTCAAAGTCCATAATTGATAAGTATGATATATCATATATGATTTGATATGATATGTTAAATGATATAATATGATATGTATCGATTATCAGATTGTCTGCATATTCATGTTATAAAATGTAAGCTGCTCGACACAATATCAAGCTTTTTTTAACTCATCTGAAAGCGCTCACTCGACAGAAAGCTTAATCATATTATTGACTCACAGCTGATATTTTACATTTTTGTTTTTCATCGACTTATGACTATGAATATTCGCCTCTATTTTGTTTACTGATGTTAATTAGAATATATCCGTGGTCATCTGTAACAGATATTCCATAACGGCTTACGATATTATGATGGTGCCCGAAAAATCTTCGAAGAGATGCTTTCGATTCCATAAACAATCCTTGGTTCGGTAGCTTTCTTGAATCAGCGACCCTCTATCAACGAAATCATTATAGGGAAGGCCTTGAAGACCATAATATCTGGCCAATATATATTACATATACAGGAGCTGCTTGAATTAACATAAATAAATGAAGGGGGTCTCATTGGGAGGTTCTGATCCCGGATCCCGCTTACTGTTTTATCTCAGATTCCCGTATCCCGCTTACACTATGTACGTAAGCAATTCTCATTTTTTTTGTAATTCCCGTGTCCCGCTAAACTTCATTTCCCGTTTTCACGGCACAATAATTTGACTTTCACCTGTCACGCTTACAAAAAATCGGCAATCCCGGATCGCGCTTAGACCCCAATGAGACCCATAATGAAGAATGTGTCCATGGGTCACATATGATGCCCCTGCTTGCATATAACGTTATGAAGGGACATAACTCAAGTACGGTGAAAGTGACTCAACCCAAATTCGAACTTGATCTGTGGTAATAAGCATTGTGTATAAGTTTCATAACGTTTGGTTGTGGCAAACTAAAGTAAGAGAACAGTAACCAATTTTGGGACGTACGGACGGACAAGGGTAACACTTAATGCCCCCGCGTCGGGGGTATAATAACGATCACAATTGAATATTGAAGTAATCACTAATGCCATAAAGACTATTATAATTCTCAACCAACCAATTTAAGGGTTCTTAATGGTAAAGTTGAAGTCTTCTCTTCGTAAGTTTAACGGACGTCATCAGGACTTGGTTGACTTATACATGATATGATGATATCACTGTCACAGGTGACCACTAGTGTACGGAAGTCATCATGACTTTGTTGACTTAAACAGGATTTCCCTGTCACAGGTGACCCCTGGTGTGCGGATGTCATCATGACTTTGTTGACCTATACAGGATATCCCTGTCACAAGGGACCACTGGTGTACGGACGTCATCATAATTTTGTTGACTTATACAGGATATCCCTGTCACAGGTGACCACTAGTGTACGGACGTCACCGCGACTTGGTTGACTTATACAGGATATCCCTGTCACAGGTGACCACTGGTGTACGGACGTCATCATGATTTGGTTGACTTATACAGGATATCCCTGTCACAGGTGACCACTAGTGTATGGACGTCACCGTGACTTGGTTGACTTATACAGGATATCCCTGTCACAGGTGACCACTGGTGTACGGACGTCATCATGATTTGGTTGACTTATACAGGATATCCCTGTCACAGGTGGCCACTAGTGTATGGACGTCACCGTGACTTGGTTGACTTATACAGGATATCCCTGTCACAGGTGACTACTGGTGTTCGGACGTCATCATGATTTGGTTGTCTTATACAGGATATCCCTGTCACAGGTGACCACTAGTTTACGGACGTCATCATGACTTGGTTGACTTATACAAGATTTCCCTGTCACAGGTGACCACTAGTTTACGGACGTCATCATGACTTGGTATACTTATACAGGATTTCCCTGTCACAGGTGACCACTGGTGTACGGACGTCATCAGGACTTGGTTGACTTATACAGGATATCCTTGTCACAGGTGACCACAGGTGTACGGACATCATCATGACTTGGTTGACTTATACATGATTTCCATGTCACAGGTGATGACTTTGTACGGACATCTTCATGACTTGGTGGACTTATACAGGATATACCTGTCACAGATGACAACTGGTGTATTCCATTTGTTGTAGTCACAATGCTGTCTTCATTTTCTCGTCAATAACTACTAGTATTTCCAAATACGTCTTATCTCCGGATTTTTCTCGTCATGAGGAACATGAAATAAAGAATATGTGTACCAAAGATACAGTTATAAGACTGTTTCATATCTTGACTTATATCTAGAAACTGACAATGAGGGTTGTTTGAGAACAAAACTTTACAACAAAAGAGATGATTTCTGTGTAGCAACATTCCACCAGTGCCTGTATATACAGTATATATCTCCCAGTTGATGCGATGTTCTAGGGCTTGCTTATTCTATCATGATTTCCTTGACAGAGAGTTACTACTTACAGAGAAGTCATTAAACCAAGGGTTCCCAGTGGTAAAGTTGAAATCATCCCTTCGAAAAATTTATCAACAATCATGATTTGTTTGACCGTAATAAAATATCTGTTTGACAGATAATAACGGACATGTTTTTGTCGTAACCACAATATCGTCATCTTTTTCTCGATTGTGACTATTCACCGTATTTTACTTGCATGCAATGATTAACACGACGGGTGCCGCTAGTGAATCAGGAATTGCTTATCCTTCCGAAGCACCTGAGTTAACCCCTAGTTTTGTTTTAAAGGGGTTCGTAATGTTTTTGCTTTACTTTTCGGTGTAGTATTTTGTGCTATTTTATATGTCGATCTCCGTTTCTATCGATAACAGTTATATATGTTCATCATTGATAAAAAAAAAACTTGTTTCAATTTCAAACTTTCATATTCAGTCAAGTTTTAGGGTTAGAGATGAGAATTTATCTTTACGAGGGTTTATGCATTTAGTGAAGTTTTACGGTTAGATAAGAGAGATTGCTCTTTCCGCTATGATGTGATGCATTATCACCATACAAGACTCATCAGCGTATTTTAACAGGAATAATACGGCGGATGTTACTAGTGGAGCAGGCGCACCTGTGTTCACGCCAAATTTGTTGTACATGGGATTCGAGTTGTTTATCTTTATGGCCCTGGTGTTGTCTGTTTTTCGTGTTGTTTATCTTTATGGCCCTGGTGTTGTCTGTTTTTCGTGTTGTCTATCTTTATGGCACTGGTGTTGTCTGTTTTTATGGCCATCTTGATAGCTCCTCCCACTTTCCACTAGTAGTACGAGTACTGTGTACGTTTTAGTATGATCTTACAACCAATTTTTGATGGGATTGGTTTTGCTTATAATCTTTAAATTAGTTCATGTTTTGGACTATGGCTGTCTTTCTCTCATTGTCGTATAAATATGAGTTCTCTTTTATCTCAAGGTTACTGTTGACTAACCCGTATAAGATCAGCACAGTATGTTAACCATTTAAGTATCCCCCTCCAAAACATACTTGTTGCTCAGAAATCAGAGTTGCCATGATTTTAAGTAAATTTATTCTTGGCGGATGAATTTGTACATTGTACAAATACTTCTGTTGCAACTTCCTAAGAAAAAATGACTCAAGTTGATTTTGTTTTTTTATAATTTCATTAAAACATTGTTGATGAAAAAGCTCCCCTGTAATTGAAATCTTGACACCGGTTGTAGGGGCTCCGGGTGTTTTCTTTGGAGGTGAAATTAGAAATCTACGTAGAATACAAAAAAGCTCTTCACTTTAGAATTTGATCTTTTTGTTTTTTTTGTTCAAGCATATATCCTTTGATTTGAAGTGTTTGGGATGTGGTTGCCATATTGACAAGTAAATATAAAATTGTTGATGGTTTTTGGCATTCTTTTCGCCGTGTTTTTTGGTTTGAAGTTAGAAACTTTGGGATTTCCTGTTTGGTTTTGACTTTTACAGGACAAACATTTATTCTTGTAGCATATCAATTGATCAGTGATTCAAAGTAAGATCAATATATGTTGTTAATGACTCTACATACATGTGGTTTAACTGAATTTGATTGTACCTTGAAATTACTTACTTATCACAAGCCCTAGAACTGAAAATTATAACAACTGTCATAAATTTTTAGTTCACCCAGATTCCCAACTAATAAGTATAAGACAAATTAAGATGACAGCAGTTTACCAATGTCCAAATCTCGTAAATCGATAAGGAAGAGACAAATCAGGACAACACACATAAACTGAGGGAATCGCACAAAACTCCAAAAGAAGCGAGACTGGGTGTGTCGCCAAAACATATATATTTGGGTATATAATGTCAAGGACATCAATTAGATTTGAAACTGAGATATCAAAATAATCCATTAATTGCTACTGTTGAACTTGGCGTATAATTTATTAAGTCTAACTGATGAAAGTGGTGATCTCGTTTATGGATTCAATCCATGGCTGTGTTAACCAAAAAACTTTAAAATCATTTGGTATTTAGTAGCATTCAGTAGTAAGAGGAGAGACTAGTCGATTCGAGTTTAGAAAAGGGATATAAATCTTCCTATGGAATGTTACCAGTAAGCTAGCTCAGCGTGTCGATTTAGTAGCAGGGTATATTATATCTCAATCTACACTTTAACCAAACATTTGAATCCTGAAATATACGTTATGACCCACCTATATAATTCTTGGGAAATAAAACTATGCTGTTGCTGTGTCTAAGTATTATATTGTGTTGCTTTATCATATAACATAATACAAACAAAGTATAAAATCATGTATTAAAAATCTCATCAAACTTTTTGAGGACGAAATGATATAATGCAGAATCAGCATTATTTGACTCAAAGTATAAGTTTGTCGATTTACATAAAATGAAACCATATTTACACATCATGTCAAGTTGTATAATCATACTTAAAAGAAATAAATGGCCATAATGGATACAGTCAACACAATCAACATATTGATAACATAAACAACCAGTAAAATCATATCAGCTTTCTGTAAAGTTGACTTCTCTTTCGTCTCTTGTGATTCTAAAAATAGATAAATACATTCAGTTTGAAATATGAAGATGCATTCGTAAGAGCTGTCATTCGTTTATAAAGGTGTATTCCACAATTTTATTCAACCTATTTTCAGCCTAGAGTTATGTTTTTATATTGGAAAACAATGAAATAAATACAGCTTAATTGTCAATTATGCACGAATGCCCACGTCTGCAGCCTTTACGTGAAAGCCAGACAACCGGAAACAATCGCAAACCCGATCTAAAAGTCAGAACCCCAAAATCAATGCTAGATCTGATGGCTTTTAAAAATGTTCGGACAAATACAATTTAAATAAAGTTCAAGGCCGTAATTCCGTGAAATTTTGTTTAACCGAATGATCAATTTTGAATTATTGTCAGTTACCTCTTCTCCGTCTTCTCATCTCATAAAACAGCTCCCATAGAACCTGACAGACCACCCATATGCTTGCAATGACTACTCCAAAAGTACTTTGTGTCTTTGGTATCAACTCAATGGTAAAAGCCAGAAATATTGATACAGCTACAAAGATACAAAAGCCTCATTTTATAAATATATAGTCCATAATTACGTTATTATTTGGGTAATTGTCAGGAACAGCGAAAACGTACAGTAAAGCTTTAACCGGTTATTGATGGTGTTCGTGTCGCTCAGTCTTTATTTCTTTTATGTTGTGTTTTGTAAACTGTTGTTTGTCTTTTGGTCGCGTTTCATTTATATTTTTGCAATGTTGTTTTAAGTTTGTTGTCCACTTATAAGTTTGATTAGCCATTTGGTATCTTCCGCCTTTCTTTCAAAATAGATCTAGAGATATAAGAAACCTAATAGATGTGAGAGTTCATGCTGTTTGAACTTTAGTTTATGTTTTGTCCAATGTCTACAGGTGTCATATCTTTCTGTTATGATTCCCCTTTTGGAGTGGGTAGGGCATATGTTAGCATTGTCCTGTTGATTCAAAACTTTTATTTTATCATATTTTTATACTTCTTACAAACCTGCTAAAATGTGTGCAGTTTTCCCCACTAACCAATGACCCCAGTTAAATAGCGGTCTCATCTTTGAATCTGGACCAGGTCTCAATAGTCCACCAAAAACTTGCAAAGTAGTAACCGACATTAAAACAATACCAACATAGGCATGAGCTTCTGCTACCTAAATGATAAAAAATCTGACTTTTCTTCCTTTGATAAAAAAAAACCCACAGTGGTGTATGTATGTAGTATCGGCAACAATGGGAAGGAAAAAATAGAAATTTATTTCTTATTTAATGTGCTCACAGAGTATAGTACAATATGAATAATTGATTACTTGATTGACTGGCTGTTGTTCGATGTACGTCCTGTGGCAAATATTCCATACATGTCCAGAGCGACAGTACACTATGGATGAGACATTATTTTAAACAAAAAACAAGAGACTGTCAGAGTGACAGCAAACCGGATTTTCTGCAGAGGTCGGACCCTGAACAGTTGAGCAAGTATCGACACTACATGTTAGCTTAAAACAGCTCTGAATTTGGATTGTGATTGAATATTTGACACAGCATAGGTTTGTGACACAAAATGAATGTGGTCAAAGAACTGAAAAATTTGAAATTGGACATTTACCTATTATGGTCCAATATCCAAAATCTAAGTACATTGTAAGAATCAGCATAACAAAGAACACCAAGAATTCAATTTTTGATGAAATCAAACAAAGTTTAATTTAGGACCCTTTGGACCTCTATGTGGACCAATTTGATAATGGAGCCCAAAATACAAAATCTCTAAATACATGGTTAGATTCAGCATTTCAAAGAACCCCATAAATTCAATTTTTGTTGAAATCATTATCAAACAAAGTTTAATTTTGGACCCTGATTTGGACCAACTTGAAAACTGGGCCCAAAAATCAAATATTTAATACAGGTTTAGATTCATCATTTGAAATAACCTATATATATTTAATTTATGTTGAAATGAAACACAGTTTAATTTTATCCATATACTTATTAATTTTCTGTTCAAAGGGAAATAACTCAAACTGAATAAATGATAAACAAATAGTTCTCTAAAATTAGATATGATTTAACCACTAAAAAATAGTTCTCTAAAATTAGATATGATGTTATACATTTGTATCCATTTTCAAATTATAATCAATTAAATTAGATATGATTTAACCACTAAAGCATTGTTAGAATCAGCATATCAAAGAACCCCAAGAATTCAATTTTTGGTGAAATTAAACAAAATTTTAATTTAGGGCCCTTTGGACCTCAGTGTGCTATTATCTAATTAATAATGAAAATTAATACCGGTTTAGATTCAGCATTTCAAAGAACCCTATATTTATTCAATTTATGTTGAAATCAAACAAAATTTCATTTTGGACCCCGATTTGGACCAACTTGAAAACTGGGCCCAAAATCAAAAATCTTAATATATGTTAGTCCTATAATATAAGACTTCGGAGTTTCATATCATTTACATTCAACGTTTTTTATCGGATATTTTTTTTTTACTATCAAGGGTTTCAACATTGATAGTAAAAAAAAAATATCCGATAAAAAACGTTGAATGTAAATGATATGAAACTCCGAAGTCTTATATTATAGGACTAAATATATGTTTGTTAATAGAAAATATAAGCTTAGCTGTTAAAGGAGTTCACTTCATAGAAAAAAAATGTATATATAGCATTCAGAAAATTAGTTTATACAGAATAACAAACAAACCTACCACAAAATTCTTCAAACAATTTACCAAAGAAAAGAAGAAGAAAAATCCAAAACGTCATTTATCATTAATACAATGTTTAAAAGTCTATAAAACTTATCTGTAAGTGTAATCAGACTTTATATATATAATTGACCATTTCTGTTCAAAGGGAAATAACTGAATCACATAATAAGTACCACTTTTGACTATTCGAAAGGGATATAACTCAAGAACGAGAAAAACTAAAATCGTGAAAATTTAACTTGACCTTCATTTAGTCACAGACAGGAAACAACATATCTAAATTTGAAAAAAAATCGTCAAAGCGTTTTCATGTTAATGAACGGACACTGATGGCAGCCGCCCGCCTGCCCAGCGTACATCCCCAAATCAATAACCGATTTTTCCTTCGAAAATCCGGTTAAAAAGGTATAAAGTAAAAGCAATTTGAATGAACATGCATTGATAAATACATACATGTATGTGTGTTTATGTTTTGAATACCTCATCTCAAACAAAAGAAATTACTTCTGAGGCATCTGTAAAATAACTGAAGAAGTTCCTTGTTCATTGGTCGTTGCTAAGTTGTTGGCTTGATGACAATCATACCACATCTTCTTTATATTTTTTTTTATGTCATCCTTGTGCCTGATGTAGAGGGTCATGATATCTTGTTAGGCGCTAACTGACATGCCAATGTGCACATAAAAAAATCTACTAACCAATCGTTTTTATAAATATAAATAATGCTTATTGACATTTGTATCTAAACAATGCACTAGTTGTGAGTTTACAAAGATGGGTAGGTAGGATTTGAAAGACAATCAGGGAGGTCAATGATATTAAAAACACTAATTTTTAAAATTATAGAAGTATTTTTTATATATTGATTTTAACATTATGCTATCTGAAACATTTCATATTTGTTTTTCGTAAATTGTTTTGTTATAAGTTAGGCATTTAGTTTTAGTTCTCAATTGAATTGTTTCATATTTTTCATGTCCGGCCTTTTTGTAGCCGACTATACGGTATGGGTTTGTCTCATTATTGAAAGCGGTACAGTCGTCTATAATTGCTTACATCCACTTCATTTGAACTCTGATGGATAGCTGTTTCATTGGCAATCATACCACATCTCCTTATTTTTATATCCCACGTTATGATAGTAGTTGTGTCCAACATGGATGTCAAACCGGATCAACAAACATAAAATCTAAAGTGAATCTTACAGAAATGTGTTTTCACATTCTATTTGTTAAATTCATTGTTAATTATTACATGTCTAATCTAAGTAGGGATTTTAAAATATTTTGGCAAATAAAAGTTGACATCATTCTGAAATTACTCACTTTAAAGGAGGACGTTTGTTTGTTTGCAGCAGAACGTGTTTCTTACGGGTTCAATTTGTAAACTTTCAAGCCGAAGTTTAAGAGTTGTGGTCAAACTTCGTTCCACTAATGCACAGCTGAGTGATTTCAGACGGACGCATAATGTTGCTTATACCTCAGCTTGGCCTTTCAGCAAATAGAAATAAAACACCATATTTACCTCCGTAAGGCCGTCAACTTTGACAAAAATAATTATAAACGAAATGGCTGTAATAACTGCCGATATTACGGCTGCCGCTCTGTGTGTCTAGACAAAATAAAAAAGAATGGATTATAAAACAGTAATGAAATAAGCCATTTAGATTAGATTGGATTATATTGCCATTACTGGCTGGATAGTTAAAATCAATTTTATGTAAGACTGTGAAATGTTGAAAATTTTACGAAAAAAAATAATAACACATCGAACAAACATATTAAATAAACAGACTATCTTAAAAATAAAATTTAATTAAGACAATGCTATTTAATGTTCATTATTTTTAAAATATATTTCGTCCCTCGTATATAGAGTAATTCCTATCAAAAAATGTCTATCAAACGTCGAGAACGCACACAAACTCTCACTATCTCTCTATCTCGGTTGAACTGTATTGAATTCTTACCTGGAACCATATTTTTGCTCCAAATGCCATCTTTTCACCAAAGCTAGATTTGAAATATCTGGCTATAATAGTGGCCAATCCAGTAAATAATATCCAAGCTACTATCATCAGTAATGCTTCAAGAGAATACATAATAATAACGTTTTTTATCCACAGGCGATTGGGACATTAACCACTCTTCCCTTTCAAAATTTCCAGTGTTTTTGATATTATTTAGTAGTTTAAAAAAATCCTAAACATCGAAGAAGAAAAAAAGGGAAAAAGTGGTTCCATACCCCTAAGCGCCTGGAATTTTGTCGAACTATATGACTGACAAATTATTTAAAACAAAATTGGTCTGGTATACACTATCTTAAAAACACCCTTTAAATAGACCAAGACATTTTGTTATATCTTACAAGGTGACAATTGGTTTTGAGTTTTTAATGGAATTTTACATTATTACGATACTGATCTAGGCTGAGGCAGCTCTTTGTAACATTTTGTTTACCTCTTTTGGTATTTCTTGTTAGAAAATACCGGTCTTGGAATTTAATATACTATTGGATAGTTGATAGTAAATTTAAAAAAAAAATATTTAGTTAAAGAAATCTGTCTCACTTTTTTTATAGATTTCTTTTTTATTAGTGCTCACCGTCGACTTTTTTTTGTATAATACTTTGTTGGATCTAACGTGCCTTATTTAAAAGTCCTACTGGGATTGAATATATGTAAAATATTAGGTGAATGGTCAATGTTTGTCAATTTTATGAAAAAATGTAAGATCTAAATTAAAGGAAAATTTTTAAATCATATTTAATAGCACCAAAAACTAATTCTCTTTTATTCAATTTCATATGTTTAGTGTTGATAATGTATCTCAGACTAAGAAAGGAATTCTCAAATGTTTAGAATATTTGCCTCCTAAGTTATATAAGTTACTTATATATTCATAATTATACCATGAACTTGGGTTAAACTTGGTAATGCAGATCCTCTGTAAATACTGGTGGATTTAAAGTTGACTTTAGAATCTGTTGTCACGGGTAATTCAATATGATGAGTTATAGCCGATGATCCTTTAAACAGAACAAATATTCCAATTGACCGTTTCAGAATCTAAGGACTATGGGTAATTTCATTGTTCGTACCCAAAAATGAAAATAACCTCATGTCATTGGTTGAACTTCAATTGTATAGGACGTTTTTAAGCAATCACGACGCTTTGGTGTACACTTTTGAAAATATAACCTAGAATGCATTAGATTCTAAAACGGCGAGTTACACATATGCATAAATATGATAATCATCATTGACAGCAATACAACAACAAAGATTGTTGAAAATTCACACCTAGAAGTCAACATACGATCTTCAAGGGACAACACTGTATGCCAAGCTCTATAAATTGCTTCGAGTTTTGAAAAAACTATTAAAATATTCAAGAGAGACTATAACAAATTTGACACCGACAGCAAAACTTTAATGGACATAGCAGAAAGATCACAACAAAACTCAATAAAATACTCAATGCCTTATATCAAAGGATCAAATAAAAAAACTCTCTCAAATTTGAATGTCATAAGATATTTATAGTTCATTCTTTGTAAGTCTGTTTTGGTATTGCCTCCTGATTATTTGAGAGCATTGTTGGGATTTAAAAGCGCATGATTCGACGAAGACTGTGTTGAAACATGCGTTGTACTGTATGCATTAGATTAGCATCGTTTTATATCAATCATGATCACCAGATTTATATCCTTAAATGTTAACGTTTGCAATGGTAGGAGTTGCATAACTAATGTTACTATGTTCACTCTTCTTAATTACAAAGCACTGTTTTTCTAAAATTTATTAATTAATATAAAATACGGAGACGCGGTATGATTGTCAATGCGACAAACTATCCAACAGAGTCCAAAATGGCCTTCAATAATTATCAAAATACATACATACGTATATTCAGCTATAAATGGCCCCGAATTGAAAAAAATGTGAAAGCAATTCAAACGGAAACAACAACGGCCTGATTTATGACAAAACCATAAACGAAAAACAAATAAACAAACAACAAACAACAACATCTGAATATAATGTTGTGAGTTAAACACCGACCGTGCCAGGGCTGTATAGCCAGTCAAGGTCGTTAAAAACTCTCATCATCATGAGTTAAACATGCGAGTGAGCGCTCAACCGTCCACTTACCTGGGTCAGTGCAACATTTGAGAGAACTCTCACAAGCAAACAACTCATAACTTACAAATTAAAGGTATACACCTCAAGCACGCAGATACATTCTACTGCATCCACACAGCACCAGCAACAATCCCTGCAATTAACTGTACTGTAGTTTTTTACTTTGTCAAAACAAGCAGATGTGGAATGTTTTCCAATAAGACAACTATCCTTATCCACTAAAGACCAAAGAGCGCGATGAACGTATGGTCTTTAACAATGAACAATAACCATAACTATAAAATTAGCTTTAAAAGGGCCCTGAAAAAATGTGAAATCAATATATGCATTATTATCAGGTTCATCAGAGTTGAAAGGTTTACCCTACCTCACTCATCGTCCTGAATATGTATTAAATATTCGCCACTAGACTTTATGTAATTAACAATCAATCAACCTTGAAGTTACCTTACTCTAATAAAGATGAGAATGGATATGAGAATATGTCAAAGAGACAACAACCCGGCCAAAGAGCAGATAACAGCCGAAGGCCCTCAATGGGTCTTTAACGCAGCGAGAAAATCCCGCACCCAGAGGTGGTCCTCAGCTGGCCCCTAAATAAAAATGTGTACTAGTTCAGTGAAAATGGACGTCATACTAAACTCCAAAACATATAAATGAACTAAAATTAAAAAACATACAAGACAAACAAAGGCCAGAGGCTCCTGACTTGGGACAGGCGCAAAAATGCGGCGGGGTTTAACATGTTTTGTGAGATCTCAACCATGCATTTTAATTTTTGTGCACATTCTTTATAATAATATCACTATAAGTTTTGTGGTGTGTTGTTTTATATTTGAGTTAGTCGAAAAGTTGAGGGCATGATTTGTTCATTGTATATATTATGAATTTGTAAATTTTTATCTTATTTTCGTATAGTTCGTGGTAATCTGCCATTTAAATAAAACTTATCATCTATGAAAACTTCAGGGCTTGCATATTCACAAAACATTCATATGTTCATATGCACCTGTCCTAAGTCAGGAATCTGATGTTCAGTAGTTGTCGTTTGTTGATGTGGTTCATAAGTGTTTCTCGTTTTTTATATAGATTAGACCGTTGGTTTTCCCGTTTGAATGGTTTTACACTAGTAAGTTTTGGGGTCCTTTATAGCTTACTGTTCGGTGTGAGCCAAGGCTCCGTGTTGAAGACCGTACTGTGACCTATAATGGTTTACTTTTATAAATTTTGACTTGGATGGAGATTTGTCTCATTGGCACTCATACCACCGGAAGTGTAAGAATATCCTGCTGCACATGCGGCACCCGTCATGTTGCTCATGTTAGTACAAACCCGCTGATAAGTCTAATCCGATATCACATTCGGGGAAAAGGGGACGGGATTGTAGTTACGACAATTGGAACATATCATTAAAATGCATCATTTAAAACGTACAAACAAGAGGCTGTCGAGTGACAGCAAACCGGATTTCCTGCAGAGGTCGAACCCTGAACAGTTGAGTTGAGCAAGTATGGACACAACATTTAAGCTTAAAAACAGCTCTGAATTTGGATTGAGATTGAATATTTAAAATAGATTATTATCTAATTAATAATGAAAATGATATTTTGCAAATCTGAATCACAAACAGGATCATGTAAAAATTAAACATTAACACACACAACAAAAATAAAATACCACATAGCAACTGTGACATCTACATTCATAACACACATGACTTAAAGAAAATAGTTATAAAGAAAATTTGACAACTAATGACTAAAATTAATTGAACAGAATCCATATACTAAATTTATCATTACTGGTTCATGGAATAAGTTTGAGTTATTTCCCTTTGAACAGAAATATGGTTTAACTAATAAAGCAAACATAGTTCTCTAAAATTAGATATGATTTAACTCTCTTAAATTAGATATGATGTTACACAATGTATATCTATTATCAAATTATAATCAAATATAATTAATAGTTCCAAATATTTTTTCTTTCATTTGTCACAAACTAATACAGATCTGCAACTTATCTATCAATGTCAACAACTTTATCTTCACAATGTAATGTAATGAAATATATCTCTTAATAAAAATAGATTATTATCTAATTAAAGGAGTTCACTTCATCAAAACAAAAAAATATATATATAGCATTCAGAAAATTAGTTTATACAGAATAACAAACAAACCTACCACAAAATTCTTCAAACAATTTACCAAAGAAAAGAAAAAAAAATCCAAAATGTCATTTATCATTAATACAATGCCTTTTAAAAATCTTTTAAAAAATGAGTTATTTCCCTTTGTACAGAAATGGAATAATTCATCAAAAATTGAATTCTTGGGAAAGGGATATACCTCAACAACGAGAAAAGCTACAATCGTGAAAATTGAACTTGACCTTCCTTTAGTCACAGGAAACAACATATCTAAATTTGAAAAAAAAATCGCCAATGCGTTTTCATGTAAATGAACGGACACTGTTTGGCAGCCGCCCGCCCGCCTGCCCGCCGTATATCCCCAAACCAATAACAGATTTTTCCTTCGAAAATCCGGTAAAATAATGCAGTGGCTCCCGGACGGATTGTTCCCCAAACCACTTGTCTCTGAATTTTTTTTAAAGGTATATATGTTATTTGTTTTCAGAGACAAGTGCCTGAATCTGGATATCGTCTTTTGATCATACAAAACCTAGAAAATTCCTTGAAGGATTACCAAGTGTTATTGATTTCTAAAATAAACTTTAACCTTAATGTTGACGCCACAGACGGCAACACAAAAAACGACACCGGAATGTAGGATAGCTATATGTTATGCTTCCGAGACAAAATGTCACAGGCTAGATAAAATTGAAAAAATAAATCATGTGTCATGTCAACACAAAAATGCTGGATACTGGGCTGCTGATACTCTCGAGGAAAAACCTTTATTAACAGCGACATCGATCCAGTAGTTGAGATAACTCATCATAGCGGGTACTAGGCTTATAGTTTGGTACGCCATACTTGCGCTTCGTTTACACAAGACTCATCCGTCTTCAGATTCAGTAGCAGGTGGCGCTCTGATAAAAAAAAAAAGTTGGGCTGCTTATACCCTCGCGGACGAAACGTTCAAAAAGAGTCCAATCCTCCTACAGTCGACAGGTCCCGGGGAAGTTTCCATCTTTGTTTTCTTAGACTTACCTTATTTATAAACTGAAAATAAATAAACTTCATTATTTTGATCGTGCTTAACTCAAAGCGCTGGATGATCACAGAGCGTTCTCTCAAGGACTGATAATCACCTACAGAAGTATACGATTGTCAAGCTTGATCCCTAGTTATTCCATTAATTTCAGAATATTGACAGCACTCTGTATTGGTATACTAACACAGATACAGTAATATAAACGTACGCAATACGGATATGAGTGTACACAGTGTGTGTTTACGGAAGAATACTCACCAAATACGCTGAAGGTCATAACTTAGGGAGCCAAATACATACACATTTAGTTAGAAGATCAAAACCAAATCGAATAGGAAAATCCTTTTGGAATCAACTCTGGAGAGCTGTAAACTTAGTTTTCAAAGAATTACATTTTTTGCAATGAAATTTAGAACAATAACTTAAACATGCATCACTAGAATCAATGTCTACCGACAGTACACTAGCAATGGCATCGATTCAGTGGTGGTACTATCAAAGCACAATAAAAACTTCAGTGCGACAATATGACAGTTTTGATGTTTGTGCTGATATACTATACCTCTATGCAAATATCCCCAAGCAATCATAACATAGTAGTCGTTGTTAAGATCAAACCCTAGTCGTTCTGTTGGTTTCATCATATTCACCACACTCATATAATTTGGTCGTGTAAATTCACAATAAAGTTTTCCATCCTGAACGGATACTGTCATATCGTGAATTTCATCTTTCTGAAATTATATTAACACGTTCTATACGACGAATTTGCTAAGTGAGTAATCAAGAATCGTACCTTTAAAGAATATATTCACACTTATTTAGACGAAATCATGACAAAATCGATGATCATAACAAAAATCGATGATCATAAAAAATTATTTAACTTAACCATAATGTAAAATGTGCTTACAATGTGTTAGATATATTTTTTGACAAGAATGGAAAAATCACAAGAATTTATCTCATTGACTCCTTTTTTTGTGTGTATCCCTATAAAAACCAATAAGCTTATTGATAAGTTCCATACCTTATACTGTCTGTAGTTGAAATATAATGGATTGTAGCCATGTTGTACAGTATACTGGTCGTCCTTAAAGGTGCAGGATATCGTATGGTCGTCTCCCTATTAATAGGTCAACAAATAAAATAAAGACTTCATGTTTTAGTTTGGTATCTTCTTTGTTATCTCCTTGTTATCTCCAGATATTATTGATGAAACTGTTTCTTTCTTTCTTTGTTTATTTTTGTTACATAGACAATTGTTCCTCACTTGTTTATATTACCTTGAAGTTTTGTCTTGCATGTCACAATATGGCCATATTTATCTAAATTATGATATCGTCCTGAACATGCATGAAATATTTGCCACTAGACAGACGTTAAGTAAACATCAATCAATCTCAATTGCGATACATTATGGAGACTAAATGTTTTTGTTGTTTCAAAACTTTGCCTTTTTTAATTCATTCGAAATTTAAATTATGTGTACTTTAGTCTCGAATCGGATATGCATGTACCATTTTATTTAGTTTACCAGGCAAGAGATAAACTATCAATCAATACAAAGTCAGTGATGACTAGTGACCGACCAACAAATATAAAAGTTAAGTCGATAATTCAATTGAGTTAATTACCCTATACACATAGAGTTCTAAAATTCAAGTATTTAGGTAATATAAGTTATTTGTCGATACGTCTTGTTTCTATAGATACAGCAATAAAATATTGAAACCAAAAGGACCGGTCGTCTTAATCTTATCTATAAATTACACGTTGTATTGTGCCTGCTAAAAGTCGACATCTAGATGTTCACATTTGGATTGTATCATTGTTTCTTCTTTCTAACATTTACACTAGATATTTCTTCTAACATTTACAAAAAAAAAACAAATGTACGGTGCTATTACCATTAATCGATCATCCGAAAATCCTAATGATATGTAGCCTTCGTTGATTTCTACAAACGCTTTAAACCTTGTTCGGTTGCCTTCATCTCTGAATGTGGCCCCTGCGTAACAGTCATCTCCCGTGCAGTAGGAAGGATACAGAATGCAACCTAAGCTTTCCCCACATTCTTCAAAGTCTATATTAATGTTCTCGTGTTTACTTATCTGAAATAAAAATGGGACAAAACATTTTAAAAAAGCTAGATTTAAGGAACAGCATAAAACCTTTGAAATATAGAAAATAAATAATATTATTTGACTGATCACAAGACATTCAAAACGGTAATGTTCCTTAGATAATCATTGAGCACGTATAAATGTATATAGGCTTGTATAAATTGACATTTCGCAAATTCGTTTACAACAGGAATGAAAACCAAAACTAGAACGAGTTCTCCTTCGTTTATTGACCTGCGAAAATATAGATCAGAAAACTTCAATGACGTGTACTTTCCAGCATGAATATATTTTAAGGTATTCTCTTCCACTAAGACTTAAATGCTTACCTGCTTTACTGGAACCACAGGAATGTCGACATGTGATGGCAATGGATTCATGATATTTATCCAGAAGATGTCAAAACTCTCCACAATGGAAATACTAGTGTAATATGAAATAGAATGTAAAATGGTGATACCTGTTCTGATTCGGCGTGAATTAAGAATCAGCGATTCATTTCACAAAAAATCTTACGATTAAAGTTGATCGTAAGTAATACTGAAATTTGAATTACGAGTATTTTTACTCTTATGACTTTTTGTGAAAAGTGTCGCATATATGTGAAGCGTAATGAGGATTTTGTATATTTTAAGATTTAATTCTCGGAGGTTTTGTAAAATTCTTAGTGTGTAATTTTAATTCAGTGTGTATTTTTAAACTTTTTTTAATCTCGTTGTGTTTTGTCTAAACATCAGAGTGTAATTTGTAACGCTCAATCATGTGTTTTAAAGTTTTTAATATCGGCATGATTTTTTTTTTAGTCTCAGTGTTTATTTTTTCTTGAAAAAATTTCCTTAACACAGTTTTAACGAGAACGGCTTGTCACATATATAAATCCGCCAATATTCACTTACAAAATCGTTAAATTTCCCTGATTTACAGCTGACGCTTTCCAAGTAATATTGACCTCTGTAACGATATCGTTGTTCTTATGACCTATCATATTCTGTAAAAAAAAGCGCAATTCATTTGCAAAAATGTCGTCTTTGTTTAATCATGCAACACTGTAAATGTAGCTTTAACACGCTAATGATATGTTATGGATTCATATAATATACTGAGTGACGTTAAAACGCAACACTCATTTTGTTGATTTTTTTTTTACCAAATCATGTTTGATCCTCATACAACTACTATTCATGCTTACCATACTTCTTTCTCTTTAAAAAAAAATCAACATCTGACTTAATTGTGCTTATTGAACATACCGGATTATTGAAGTCGCACGAATTTCTTGAAGCGAATTTTGGAACCCATAAAAGATTTTTTCAGGTTTTTATACGCCCGTCAAATTTTTGACGGGACGTATTATGGTATACAAATGTCCGGCGTCCGTCCGTCTGTCTGTCCGTCTGTCCGTCTGTCTGTCTGTCCGTCCGTCTGTCTGTCCGTCTGTCTGTCCGGCGTAAACATGTCGCACCGTAACTTGAGAATGACTTATCCAAATTTCATGAAACTTAACATAGTTGTTTCTTATGATGGTCAAACGATCTGTATACTTTTTGGTGAATATAAAATTAAAACTTTTTGAGTTACTTGACTTAGTAACTAAAAACAGGTGTGTGTTTTTTTTCACATGTCGCTTCGTATCTCAAAAACAATTTATGATTATTGCTTAAAACTTTACACACTTCTTAGTTATATTAATCTTAAGATCTGTATACTTTTTGGTGATGATTCAAAATTTTATTTTAGAGATATTGAGTTTTTTGTTAAAAAAGGGGGAGGGGTTTTTCACATGTCGCGCCGTATCTCAAAAACAGTTTATGATTATTGCTTAAAACTTTACACACTTCTTAGTTATATTAACCTTAAGATCTGTATACTTTTCTGTGATGATTCAAAATTTTATTTTTGAGTTGTTGAGTATTTTGTAAAAAAAGGGGGAGGGGTTTTTCACATGTCGCGCCGTATCTCAAAAACGATTGATGATTATTGCTTAAAATTTTACACACTTCTTAGTTATATTAATCTAAAGATCTGTATACTTTTTGGTTTTGATTCAAAATTTTATTTTTGAGATAATGATTTTTTTTTTAAAAGGGGGGTTTTCACATGTCGCACCGTATCTCAAAAACAATTTATGATTATTGCTTAAAATTTTACACACTTCTTAGTTATATTAATCTAAAGATCTGTATACTTTTTGGTTTTGATTCAAAATTTTTATTTTAGAGATATTGAGTTTTTTGTAAAAAAAAAGGGGGGTTTTCGCATGTCACGCCCTATGTCAGAAACGGTTTATGCTTATTGCATAAAAATTCACACACAAGACGACAGGCGTATCATGCGCTCATGGCGCAGCTGTTTATTTTCTTCGTGAAACAGTTCTTCCAATCCTTGGCCACACTTAAATCAGTTAAAAAATGTTGCATCTCCATATTGCCAAGACTGAGAAATAAAAAAACTGAATTAGCCCATAAGAATACTGCAAACAGGAAAATGTGAACGTGCTGCAACCAGACATTTTGATGTCAGAAACTCGTCTTACTGTCCTTCCGACAACGATACAGGTATACGGAATTTGTTGATGACCATCAATGACCAGATCAACATGTAGTGACAATGCAACGTCAATAGAATTTGATTTCTCAACGTCATTTGCGAGACATGTTTACGGGCGTAACGTCAACTGCTAATCAAATTGCCGAATGCCATTGCGCACAGACTCATGCCATAAATGTTTCCCATAAACTGAACTGCCAAAGAATCGACTGCAGAAAAACATTTAAAGCCCTTAAATTTCAACCGCATAACTGCCAAAACCCATTGTAATGGGTGGAACAAAGGCAAAATCAGAACGTGCAAAACAGAACCAAAAACATGCCGAACAGAATTGGTCGACCTTTCTGACAATCATTTTGACGTTTGTTACAGGCAGTCATTGTTTTTGACGGTGACACATTCATTGGTAAGGGGAAAACCAGGGTTTCAGTGTTACAGTATACCACATGAATTGAACATTAAAAATGACGTAATCAATTCAACTTTCGAACTGCCAATTTTTTTAAACAATGAAGTAATGAAAGAAATTTCTGTTCATAAGTTTTTTTAAACAAAAATGATTATCTGAAAATGGGAATTAAAAAGAATAATCTAGTGTTGCGTTTCTAAGATCGATCAGTATAATATGTCCCCTCACAATCTAGGTTCATCAGGCGCGTGTAGATATTCGGATGAAATCGGAAGCTAATAAGAAACTTTTGCAGATAATCATACCAGCTGAATCATACTACATTTCTTTCAATTCTTTATAGATCAAATTGTGTTGTGTTAATAGTATGAAGGTCAAGATTTATTCCTTTGTTTGGGATAAAACTGAGTTTCATCTATCTCATTGAGCCCAGCAGGTTCAAGAGTACATGTTTGTAGGTAGTGCATCAAACATCACTCTGTATTCTACTTTGTGTGTCCCAATTTGGGTAAGCCTCTATTATTTGAAAGGTGATACTTTCAAAAGAAGTGATTGGTGAGTCTCTTCCTTTGGTATAAAATGATCACTGGTTATTTAGTCTGATGTTATTAAATTTAACATCAGACTAAATAACTTCGATTACCAATGACATACAATGGCTTTTACAATCGTGCACAACAGATTTAATCTGTGTTTTCTGTTTCAGATGTAGTATCTATAGCCGGTAAAAGATAATGAAATATACACAAAGAATGATGGCTCATCCCCTTTCAATTATTGAAGCCAATCTGAAATTCATATGATTATCTGGGGCCTAGGAAGCCGAGTGTTCAAAGTAGTTCATGTACAGTGACCACTAGCCTGTCAACTCTGTGATTGTGAGGTCGAACCTTGCTTGTGTCGAGATGCACTAGACTCCTATTTTCAATGACATGAATTGACAGTTTTCCTGCCGATGTTCAACGGTTCTCCTCGGGCACTCTGGCTTCCTCCCTAAAAAAAACCTTGCCGCCATGATATAGCCGAGGTCACTGAAAGTGGTGTTAAACAGCAACAAACTAACAAACATGATTTTCTGTAGTAATAACACCTTACAAAAATGTTGTTATTATTTAATATTGAGAGATTTTATAATGAAATCTCAAATACCTTTTTACCATCTATGCAGTTCATTGCTCTCAGTTTTTCTGATGGAAAACTGGTAAATTCTCCTATAAGTTCTTCCGTGTCTCCTTTATCACGATGAACTGCTATTTGCAAACCCATAAACTTTCTTCCATTCTTTCCTCCTACGGTCACTAAATAAAAAGTTTTACAGTATAATATTTGGAAGGCAAACATTCAATGGAAATAAAAAAATACTGTTCTCTGTTCATAAACTTTATTTAAGTCTAAGTCTTAAACACATGAATGTTTATTAGTTGTTATTGTAGTGGTCCACAAATGTTGGCTACATTGTGCATAGTCGGTTTCGTTAATAGAATTTGGCAGACGTCTTATCACTGGCCCTGTTTATGTATATCTAGGAAGGATCCTATGCATTTTCTAAAGAAAAAGTTTTTTTAGTAGACATTTTGTGAAGTCTATTTTTTTTTTATCATCTCCATAAAGAACCGATGCAATTTATATTTCTACAGCTTCAAAGTTCAAATTCATATAATCCTATATTTCTTAAAGTTAGGAGGGACTTTTATTCTATTTGATATTTTATGAGTTTGAGTGGGCGGATATTTACTATATCTTTCTAATCTTTCTTAAACGATTGCAATTGATTTTTTTTTTCATTGTTTTTTTTTTTTTATCTCATCTCAAAATTAATAGCTTAAAATTACAAATCTTAATATCACGAAATTATTTTTTAAAGAAAAACAACAATTTTAAAGTACAAAATATTTTTACCTTAAAACTTTTAAGCTTTTATATTAAATACAGTTTTCTGATAATTCAAATTACAAAATCCAACATTCATATATATATTTATTTAACAAAATGTAAGCGTTTTAGGAAGTCACCAAATCGCCATATAGTCCCTGTTAGCCTAACCACGGACACCAACACAATCATATCACAATGATTTGTTCGCCGTTTTCTTTTACTTTTGAAACATCGTAAACGTTGCGGGGCCTCGGTGGCCGAGTGGTCCAAGAGGAAAAAAAGTAGTCAAACTACTATATCAATAGCCTGTCAACACTGAGGTTGTGAGTTCGAATCCCGCACAGGGTGCACTCGACTCCAATCTTAATTGAATAGGATTGTCAGTTTTCCTACCGAAGGTTGGTGGTTCTCTCCGGGCACTCCGGCTTCCTCCACCAATAAAAACTGACCGCCACGAAATAGCACAATAGTGTTGAAAGTGGCGTTAAACACTAATCAATCAATCAATCAATCAATCGTTAACGTTGCCTGTATGAAAGGTGCATCGAATGAAAATCTGAAACTAGCCATACTTATCATAAGTTCGCAAAGTTTGGTTCCCCTTTCATCAGCAGTTTAGATGAGAAGATATCTAGAAGAAAAATCTAACCGACACAATGGACGACAGACGCCAAAAGAATTGAATAGTCAACACTGGCCCTTAAAGACATATGACCAGGTGAGCTAGAAAACTTGGTTGTTTTTTTTTTTGGCATAATGCAAGATATGATCCCTTTCTTAACATATGGGATTGAAACATATCTTTCTTTTTTTGAGAGTCAAAATTCTTATTCTTAATTTTAAACCATCGTTCTTACTACTAAGTACTTATTTTTAGAATTTAGGAAGAGATGAATATTATAAATGTTTAGGAGAAACACTCCCAAGATATCTATAGCTTCCATTAATGATCTCGATGTTTATCTTTACAGTTACTGGAAAGTCTTCGGCGATGATCTTAAGAATTCTTCAGTCTCTTGTATATGGTTCAAAAATAAAGAAGACATCTAGTGTCAATATAATATATAATTATAACGGTACCGTAAGCGGTTATCTTTGATGTTTATCGATAACTGCTAAAATGCTTTTAGTTTAAACATATTTTATTTGCTTAAATATGCAAAAAGGATGAGACACAAGTTAATCAAAATTATAAAGTCTTCTCCCATGAACAATTTATAACAATAGAGTATTTACAAAGCATGCATGCAAACAATACATTATATATATTGGATATGTACAAAAAAAATGAAGTGTGATGATGTGAATGGTTGTACATAATATACATGTATATGCACTTTAGTTTGCTATATTATATAATTAGAAACCTCTTTGACTCTTTAATAAATTCATATACATTCTTTAAAATTCTTTCATTTTCATCATTAGTTAATTAATGACGAATCACCGAAGGTTAAGATGTTCAAATTTAGTGGAGAGTTCTCTGATAACCAGTTCTGATTGTTAGATAGTTTGATTCTTAAATTCGCATAATAAGGACATTAAAAAAAGAAGGGATATGCATCTTCACGCTTAGCACCACAGCGACAAGACGGATCTGAAATGATATTGACTCTTGTTGAAATCATGATTCAAAAAAGAAGCTGGGCATCTAAGTTGAGCCAAAATGATGTTGAGTTTACGAATGCCAAATTTATAATGTTTAGGTACTTGGCTTTTGAATTCAGTTTAATATTTTTTAATTCGGTTTTAAATTTACCTGAAGAGTCAATGTTGCGGGTAATCACATTAAGATTATTTAACAGTCGTATAGTTGAAGGTATGAAGGATTCTTGGGTCAATGAAAGTCTACAAAAAGGGTGTATTATATCATTCCCATTACGTAAGGGGTAAACAGCTACACTTTGGATTTTTGGTGTAATTAAATTGCAAAGATAGGCTGGTGCATTATTATGTTGAATATTATAAAATAATTGTAACTTCCTCCTTTCTCTTCGTTCAGCTAGAGTTTCCCAACCAATATCATCATAAATAATTCTACTACTAGTAAAAATAGGTAGACCTGTTACAATTCTGGCTGCCTCAAGCTGCAGCTGCTCTAATTTGTTACAATAACCCACACCAATTTTATCCAAGTATAGCTTTTCTAAATTATTCCTACTTAATCTGGGCCCGTATGCATAAAGCTACTTAAGTTAAGATTTGTTCCGAACGGACGGATTTTTCTACGTGTCCAACGATAAATTAGTACTACCATTGGATTTCTTAACTTAATAAGTGGATTTATGCATACGGGCCCTGTACTTTAATTTTCTAAGTACATTCAAATGTTTCGATACATTTTTTATACCTTCCCCATGGGTGTTTCATTTAGTATCTTTACTAAATGTAACACCCAAATGTTTATGGAAATCTGTAACTTGAGTATTCTTACCATTGAATATGAAATTCATTTCTGGGTTAAAGGACATCAGCCATTTCTAACACCAATCGCTCAGCTCACTCAGGTCGTGACGGATCACTGATTTTATTTGTGACGTGTCACGACTAGAGTGGCTGAGAGATGTGTCATCGGCAAATAATCTACATAAAAGAGATCAAATTTTCAGCGATATCATTAATATAGATAATGAATAAGAGGGGTCCCAAAACAGAATCATGTGGGTCACCAGTTGAAATACTGCAAAGCTCTGACGAAGATTGTTTAATAACAACTCACTGTTGTCTGTTCTTCAGGTAACTTTTAAAACCAATTCAATAAATTCCCATTCACACCATATGACTTCATTTTATGTAGCAATCCTTGATGCCAAACTTTATCGAAAGCTTTAGAAAAGTCACAGAAAACAAAACAGCTAATTTCTTTATTTTCTAGTGAATTTAAAATACAGCTGTAAATTTCTAAAAGCTGGTGAACTGTTAAACATTTTGGAAGGAAACCAGACTGGTATTCATATATTAACTTATTTCTTTGCATGTTTATAAACAACTCGTTCCATTATTTTCCCTACATTACTTATAAGCGATATTGGCCTATAGTTAGATGGTAACGAACTATCTCCTTTTCAAAAAAAGCAATTACATTTGCAGTCTTCCAGCTGGTGGGAAATTTTACATTATTGGAAGGATTTATTAAATATTATTTTTAAAGGAATTGCTATTTTTTTCAGGACACATTTTCAGCATTTTGTGGCTTATGACATCTGGACCAGATGCCTTATAAGGATCTTAAATTGTAATTATATCATCCATTTCATCTTTTTCGATTACTAAATCATTTAAAAAAATATTGGTTCTTGGTTCAATTTCAGGGATGGGAACACCTTCCTCCTCTAGGGAAGAAATCAGACTAAAATATTTATTCAAGAGATTACATTTCTCGTCGTCTCCGTACACTATATATTCCATGCTTTCGTCGTGAATAATATTATTAAGTGGGGGTAAATCACCAGAATCTTTATTTATTATTGTCAAACCATGGTCTTTCATTGTTTCGTATGTAAACATGTCGAGTTGGGATGCTCTGCCTTGCAATGTCAAGGAGTTTTTGAGTAAATGTATTGCACATCTCGTCAACATCCTCAACATCAGAAAAAAGTTCATCCCAACAGACAGAATCAAGTCCTAAAGAAAATTTATTTAAATCTGCTTTTTCGTACAACCAAATTTCTCTTTTGAATGATTTGGATGCAAATCTAGGACATTCTAAAAATATTAAAGATGCATCGTGATCACTTATTTCAGACGGTAATTTAAGTACGTCGGCAATAGATATTTATTGGGTCGCTGATTATTATCGGGTCTAGCAATGTGCTACTATGTCCAGTCACCCTTGTCGGTTTATTTATTACATTTTCTAGATTAAAAAGATTCATTGTATCATAAAATTTATTATTATGATTGAAAATAAATCAGAGTTCAAATCTCCTGTTATCACAATATTCTCCCTTAGCTGGTAACACAATCCCAGTGAAGTCTAGGCTAGTCTATAGAAAGGTATATACTATGAAATTTAGAACGAGGGGCTTGCCCCGAGCACTTAATTTCATAGTATATACCTTTCTATAGATTATCCAATTTAGCACACATTTACAACTCGAGTAATCTTTTAATTGGTCTATTGATGGCTGACTTCTTGAATCACAGGTGTTTGTAAACCTGAGCTCATTAACAAAGTTTTGTTTTGTAAATCTACTTACTAGTATCATTGTAAAATATGCGATTTCAAAAGACCCTGGACTCCAGAATGAAAAGATGTAAGTTGTTGGTGTAAGTATGTTTATTGATATAAAGCAGTGTTTTACTATACATGTACTTCTTTACATTGTAAGATAATAAAATTAATTGACCAAAAACAGGCAACAATTAAATTGCAGTGAAAGCTTTACATGTTTTGAAAGCATTTTTTTTTTAATTTTACAGT